TAATTTCCATTAACACCTGATGGTTCTTTCCAACATACATATAAGTCATGAAATCTTTTTATATTGCCTAGTTATTTTACAGCCTTCTAGATTTATTGAGCCAAAATGTAAACTGAATTTCCATTCCACAGGTCATTCTTGTCTCTAGAGCAAAGTAACATAATTCTCTTTAAGGTAGTTTTTAAAGTCCATATTTCTTAAGCCACATTAAAAAAAAAAAAAACTGTTAAGTAATTTTTGATGTTGACTTTCTCCTTAGTCTTGTACATGAAACTCCAGCAGATTTAATATTGGCATTCTCTATTTAGTTAAATCCTTCAGATGATCTTCAAACCATCCCAGTTTGGACTCTCAAAGCTTTTCTGTGTTGATAAAATGAGTGGAATTAGCAGACATGATGAACACCTGTTGTTGTTGTTTTTCCTACCAAGACAGACTTCCAGATGCCATTTGGATTGAGATTTAAAATATGAGTTGGAGAACTGTAGATTTTTCTTAGTCTATTCTCTCAATAGTAGAGATGTAGAAGGGTAAGTAAGACCACGAGAAGACTGGCTATAGTCTTTATAGTGCTGGAGGTGGTTGCGGTGGTGGGCTTTGTGGTTTCATAATAGGTAGCACCTGGTGTGCTAGTTAAAGGAACAAATGAATTAATCTGCATGGGTAGGAGCAGTACCAGAAGCAGCAGCCCCAGACTGAGCCTGGCCACCATCCTCTTACCCTTGTGTGTCCAACTTGCTGCTTTTGTAGGCTGGAGGGTCTCTGAATTCCTCACTGGAGTGGAAGTAGCAAACCACGCCTTATATTCAAATAGCATCACAATGACAGTGACAAGATGCCACACCTTTCCTTACCCAGTCAAATACTTTGTTTTTGAAAGTTTTAAAACATTTAAAAATTGTTGCCTGGACCCCATTATTAACATTAAAAATTGAAAAAAAACAGGTTTCAATTTTTTTTTCCAAGTAGCATTATCTTCTTTCTGGTTATTAAAAGTGACTTGTTGGCCTGGGGTTGTGGCTCAGCAGTAGAGTACTTGCCTAGCACGTGCAAGGCTCTGAGTTCAATCCTCAGCACCACATAAAAATAAATAAAATAAAGGTATTGTATCCAACTACAGTTAAAAAACTATTTTTAAAAAAAGTGACTTGTTTGTTGAAATTTGTTAGTATAAGAGGTTTTTATTCAGAGATAATTGTTACTAATATTTGTTATATTTTCATACAATACAAATACATGGTTTAGATTTTACACAGCAAGGATTGTATCCAGAATTTTTTCTTAACATTTATCATGAGCATTTTCCTGTCATTAAAAGCATAGTTTAATTAGCTTTTTAAAAAGTTTGCAGTGGGTTGGGGATATAGCTCAGCTGGTTGAGTGCTTACCTTGCATGCACAAGGCCCTGGGTTCAATCCCCAGCACCACACACACAAAAAAAAGTTTGCAAGCTAGTTGTTTGTGGTAGCTCTTAATCCTAGCTATCTAAGAGGCTGAGGCAGAAGGACATCAATTTTGAGGCCAGCCTTGGCAATACAGTAAGACTCTTATCTCTTTTTTTTTTTTTTGAGAGACAATTTTTTTTAATATTTATTTCTTAGTTCTCGGCGGACACAACATCTTTGTTGGTATGTGGTGCTGAGGATCGAACCCAGGCCGCACGCATGCCAGACGAGCGCGCTACTGCCTGAGCCACATCCCCAGCCCAATACTCTTATCTCAAAAAAAAAAAAAAAAACTTTGCACATTGAACTCTATATATGTATAATTTTATCCCTGTTTTGTTTTGAAATATTCTTAAGTACTTGTAGAGAAGTTGTCAAGATAATATACCATAGTATCTGCCTTGGTTGTTTCTATATGGATATTTCTATATTTTTCAACTTTTTTACATTTTATATTTCTTGGGTAAGTTGAACTAGTATTTTGTTTTGTTTTGTTTTGGTGCTGGAGTTTGAACCTAGGACCTTGTGTATGCTAAACACAGGCTCTACCACTGAAGTATACTGTCAGCCCCAAACTGGTAGTTCAGGAGGCTAAACAGAATTCAAGCTAAATAAACCAACATGGAAACTGCCTTTCAAAAAAAGTCTCAAGAAAAAAGACAGTGAAAATTAAATAATAAAGAGTGTAAGTTCACAGTTAATGCAGCACTTACCTGCATGGGAACAGATTCTCTTTGGAATAAGAAAAATAATACTTTTGATGATGTTTAAAATTTTGGAGTGATTTATATTAAGGAAGTAGTACAAGTTTAAAAAAAAAACATTAGTTTTTATATTTAGCTTGAAGAGAAACTTTAAAGTTATTCAATGTCTCATTCATCCTTTATTTTCAAGAGTATATTTTCTTTATATTCCAGAATATAAAAACTTACTTTCTCTTTGCTTTTCCTAAGCCACTGCTTCCTGGCTCTTCAGGAATCCGATTCTCCTTTTCAGAATCTTTAGGGGACAGCCTAAAGAATTCTCCAATTCCTTTCTGCCACTTGGGAGTTGGACGTACACAAACTGGATTTCCTCCTGCATACTTATTTTCAGCTGTAAAATATAAACAGAACTAAATAAGAATTAGGAATCCAACCACCATTCATTAAAAAAACTTAATTCTTTCTTTCACTTCAAATTCTCAAAGGTATAAAAACTAGAAAGTGTGACACAGGAAAGCTATAATCAGACAATAAACTCAGTTTGATAGTTTGATCCTAGAAAAAAATCTGTAACAATTTTTAAAGTTGGAAAATCTTTTTCATATTTGTCCATGAGCAGAGCTATCAAACAGAATCATGTACTGTCATACAATATTTGATACACTTTTTCCTAACATAAGGTATCACCCTATAGAATAAATCACCAGAATTTTATTTAATAAGATCATTTAGGCTAGGCACAGTGGCCCATGCCTATAATCTTAGTTCAGAGGCTGAGGTAAAAGGATCACAAGTTCAAAGCCAGCTTCAGCAACTTAGCTTGACTCTGTCTTGAAATAAAAATAAAAAAGTGCTGAAAATGTAGCTCATTGGTAGATCAACCCTGAGTTCAATTCCCAGTACCAAAAGACAGGAAAAAAATAAGGACATTAGCAATTTCAAACACTTACCAGAAGTAAAGATAGAGATATATAAAACATTATAAAAGGTGCATTTGTTCAAAGCATTCATTAAGGGCCTACATTCAGTTGGCTCTGGTGATTCAGCAGTGTTCCAAACAATGGAATGTGGCCCGAATGGAATTTATTCTAGTGGTACAGGTTGTAAGATAGTCTCAAAAAATTCATCTTCTTTCAAGTGTTTTGACTACTATTCCCTTTTTTAAAAAAGATTTTTTTAGTTGTTGATGGACCTGTATTTTTATATATTTATATGCGGTGCTGAGAATTGAACCCAGTGCCTCACACATGCTAGGCAAGTGCTCTACCACTCAGCTACACCCCAGCCCTACTATTGCCTTTTATCTGAAGAGACTGAATAAATATTTTCTAAGAAAGTGTTTGGAATAGGAGGAAATTTGAGTTGACTTAAAAATCTATGAAGTCTTAAACAGTGCTCTCCTTTCTGTTTGTAACTAAACCTTGTGAAATTAATCTTCCTGCCTGTTCAACTTTCTACTGAAAGGAAAGAGGCACCAGATGGCAGGGCATTTTCTCATCCTCTCCACATGCAGGAGGAGCAGTGTGAAGCTATTTCCCTTGCCTTGTTACACTCCCACTCACCCAAAAGCAGTATCAGGAGCTGCAAAGTTAGAAAACACACACAAACACCACACTCAAAAAAGACAGAGGAGGGGATGGGAGTGAGGGATAGAGGAAGAAAGGAAGGAAAGCAAAAGCAAAGGCAGAAAAAGTATTTATACTAAGAAGACAATGTAAGCCTGACTAAGGGGCACACACCTCTATTCCCAGTGAACTGGGAGGCTGAGGCAAGAGGATGGCAAGTCAAGGTCAGCCTGGGCAACTTAGCCAGACACTGTCTCAAAATAAAAAAATAAAATAAAATAAAAAAAGAAGACAATGTAGTTAGCATAGTCAATCATTATCCTAAATCTAGTGAAGAGGTACTTAAATAGTTTCTAAAAGAAAAAGCCAACTGTCAATAATAAACACTAAACAACAACAACAACAAAAATAGGTTTGAAGATAAATCTGGGTCCCCATCTCAAGGCTTGAGATTAATTTCCATGAAACTTTTTTTCCCATACTCTAGCCTCCTAATAGGCCAAGGCCCCCTCAAAGGATAGGGAAGAAAGGCCTGAGAATCTCTAATAAATTCCAAAGTGGGCCAGGGCTGTAGTGCCAAACCTGATCCTCTTTTAGGAGGCGCCCTCTTACTCAAGGAGCTTGCAGCAGGGCGCTTCTTACCTTTCCTTGATGAAAGCGATGTAGAATTAGTAGCAGAGGAGGAGGAACCAAGGATCTTTCTTGGGGCTCGAGAAGCCACCACTGCAAAGAGAGGCGAGAAGGGGAGCATTCAGAAAGGGGCAGGAAGGTTTTGATACCTTGTCTCGCCACATTCTCACCACAATCCCGGACCCTAGCAGCTTCAGGAGGACAGCCCAGAGATCCAGAACAGCAGGATGGCCTTCCCTTGTCCCTCTAGCCGCTTCCTCAAGGTAAAGGGGACTGGCGGCTGCTTCCTGGCTGGCTGGAGTTTGGGTGTGCGGGCCCAGGGGAGCCACGACATCTCGCCACCCGGGGACACGCTACCAGGAGAAACCCCTCTCCACCCCTTGCTGTCCACTATGGCGCTGGGTCCTTCACCTTTTCTGTAGGTGCCTGGGACGCTGTCTGCTTTAGTTCGCACCATGTTCAAACGGGAGGAGAAAAACGTCCGGGCCGATGAGGTTCACAAGACAAGGACCTAAAAAAAAAAAACAAAAAACTCTCCCGCCACCGTTTATATTAATGTCTTTCCCGCGCTCCACAAGACTCTAGCGAGCTGTGGCTCCCCATTGGTTCTGTTCTTTAACCCCAAACCAATCGCCGGAGTCCAGGGGTGACATCGGCGAGGCTTAATGCAGTGCTGGCCAGTCCATCAACTCACAGGGGCTTGTGATTCGCACCAGCGCCAGGTGGGCGGTGCCTGGACACTTTCCCGGGTTACTTGATGTGTTATTGCTAAGGTTCTGAAGTAGGTAAATGGGCCTGTTTATAGAAACGAAATAAAACAGCAATGACAGAAAATTACATTTCTTCAAAAAAAAATACATAGGGTTAAATACACAATGATTGACTTCTGGAAACGAAACCTAAAATTAAGCAGATTTTTGGACACAAATAAAAATAAGAATTTTGAGAGCTTTCAAACCGCAGGCATGACTTATCTATATCATTCATGTCAAAACAATTCTATGGGATTGAGAAAAGGAAACTAATATAATTTTTGACAGTCTTTTGGTTTTAGGATCATGTGAGATTTAAAAAAAAGACCACTGGGTGAATTGTATATACATACACACACGAAGAGAAATAATAAAATGCCTTTCTGAAAAAAAATCTGCCAAATGTGTTAAAGGCTAGATAGAATAGGGAAGTAATAATTTTTCTCTATCCCTATGTTTATCTTCTAATTACAAAACCCTCAGAAAATGATTTTCACTCTGAATACCTGTAGGATCAAATGAATGTGATGTGGGGTATATTCTGTTAATTGTTCATTTGAAAGGCAACTCTGGAGAGTGTGAGCACAGCATTAATTTGTTCCAAAGAATTATGCTTGAGGTTTTCTGTTTTTTTTTTTTTTTTTTTTTTTTTGTTTTTTTTTTTTTTTTTTTTTTTTTTTTGCAATGCTGAGGATCAAACCCAGGTCCTTTCACATCTAGGTAAATATTTTAGCACTAGGCTACATTCCAGGAGAATGGATAAACTGGAATTAAACAAACAAACAAAAAAAAGGCTACTCACTACTTTAACAGCCATACTGCATTATAGAATTAGAGGAGTTAAACAACAGATTAAATTAACATTCTAACAGATTAAATTAACTTTATAATAGTAGGAAATGTATTTGCAATTAATTACCTGAGTTTTATCTTAACCCTGGGGCCTAAGATTGCAGACACCTTTGTAATAGAAAAATCAAGAAGCCTCAGGGTATGCTCTTTGTCATTAAGTTCCGTCTCAATTTACTCTGGTAAATGCCATTGTTTCCTTTTCAGTTAAAATCCTCTCTTCCCAGGCGGGGAGGGTCAGCAACTTAGCAACCTCAGCAACTTAGAGAGGCCCTATGCAACTTAATGAGACCCTATCTCATATAAAATATAAAAAAAGGGCTGGGGATGTGGCTCMGTTGTTAAGTGCCCATGGGTTCAATTCCCTATACAAAAAAAAAAAAAAAAACCTTCTACATAGGGCTGAATTGAATTCACATATCAAATTCCTACAAAGATTGGATCTACCTACAGTCTTTTTTCCTATTCTACAAGCCAATTAAATTGCTAGAAAGAATTTCAAGTGTCCCTTTTCCTATAGAGGCTGTCTACATATTACTATTACTATAGTTGTGTTTGTATGCCTTTTAGGGAGTGGGCATGTGCTGGGAGTCAATCCTAWATGCTAGGCAAGCACTCTTAACAATGAGTTACTTCCCCTACCCTATATGTCTTTTTAATACTATGACAATGAAGAATGCATGTTAGAGAAAAAAAATAAAGTCATGCCTACTAAAATTATTTTTCTTTTATGTTTTATTGGTACATTATGTACATAATGATGAAATGTGTTATATTGTGTGTATCTACAATATAATTTGACCAGTATCACTGCCTAGGATTTTCCCCCTCCCTCCCCACTACTAAAAATTCTAAGAGAAATATTTGCTTTGGAGAAGTACTTCTCCTTTACAATTCATGAAACAGAGAACTATGTGATGTGAAAAATATTGTTAAATGTGTGAATGCAATTTCTACTTAAATTTGTACCAAAGTATATCTTTGGTGTGCATGTTTATGTGTATGTGTGCTGGTAATAGAACCCAGGGCTGCTGGGCATGGTGGTGCAAGGCTGTAATCCCAGTGATTTGAGAGGCTGAGGCAGGATGATCACAAAGTTGAGACCATCTTCAACTTAGTGAGACCATCTCTCAAAATAAAAAATAAAAAGGGCTGAGGATGTGGCTTAATGGTTAATCACCTGGTATTCAGCTGGTATTCAGTCCCCAGTACCAATAAGAAAAAAAAAAAAATGATCCCAGGGCCTTGATAAGGAAACTTTCTACAACTGAGCTACACCCCCAATCCCAAAGAATATATTTAAGTCATATTAACTGGGTGTGCTTGCTTTGCTTAGGCAGAAATGTAATTGAATACAGGATAATGATTGAAAATGGTGTTATATGCACACATTACAACCTAGAAATTATAATCATAAACATATGCTTTATGAAAAAAATTATTCTTGAGGACCTGTCATTTCATTATAACATATATATGTTAAGTTCTTTTTTAAAAAATATTTTTAGTTGGACACCACACCTTTATTTTATTTATTTATTTTTATGTGCTGCTGAGGATCAAACCCAGTGCCTCACATGTGCTAGGGAGGCACACTACTACTAAGTACAACTCCAGCCCTGATATGTTAAGTTCTATTGTAATTTTTACGAATTTAAGTCATAGTCTGTCTTCCAGAAGTTAATATTTTAGTTATGGGCCAGAACAAATATGGAAATGGGTAAATTATTTAAATGTTATAATTAGTAATAAATGTATCAGATTTTTATAAAGAAAGAAATCACATACCCACAAATCATGCATCCATTATTACTTAATATCAACAATATTTTGCTTTTAAAAAAAGTTTAAAAATGCTACATTTTCTAAATTAATGACAAGAACAATCTAACTTCAATATAAGTTAATACACTTTCATGATTTTGATTAGTTATGCTAGTAAAAACATTAGCATTAAGAAAAGGTCAGGGGGGCTGGGGATGTGGCTCAAGCAGTAGCGCGCTCGCCTGGCATGCGTGCGGACCGGGTTCAATCCTCAGCACCACATACAAAGAGGTTGTGTCCGCCGAAAACTAAAAAATAAATATTAAAAAATTCAAAAGAATCCATGGGTAAAAAAAAAAAACAAAAGTTCAGGGGCTGGGGATGTGGCTCAAGCGGTAGCGCGCTCGCCTGGCATACGCGGGGCCCTGGGTTAGATTCTCAGCACCACATAAAAAAATAAAGATGTTGTGTCCACCGAAAACTAAAAAATAAATATTAAAAAGATTCTCTCTCTTAAAAAAAAAAAAAGGAAAAAAAGGAAAGGTCAAACTGGGGCTGAGGTTGTGGCTCAGCGGTAGAACGTTTTCCTAGCATGTGCAAGGCACTGGGTTCGAATTTTAGCACCACATATAAATAAATAAAATAAAGATCCACTGAGAACTAATTTTTTTTAAAAAAAGTGAAACAACATTCAATGTCTAAATAGGCTAATAGGAATTTTTAAAACTTGGGTCTTTTGGTGGGGGGGCGGTAGGCCGGAGGGATTCAACCCAGAGTTAATTTAATAGTGACATCCCCAGTCCTTTTTATTTTTTTAAGGCAGGGTCTCACTAAATTGGTTAGAGCCTCTTTAAATTGCTATCCTCCTGCCTCAGCTTCTCGAGTGGCTGGGGTTACACGCATGCACCGCCACACCCGGCAAGAATGAAAAATTTTAACCTATAAAGGTAACCAAAAAAAAAAAAAAAAAAGCATCCAGGAATCATAAAAAATGCTTTCCAAAAAAGTTTGGCTAACATTTTCCCTAACCCACTGCCCTGTCAGAGTGGGGAACTGCAAAGGACCCCCTAAGTCTGGTTATCTTGGGTTGAGAATTCATGTGGAACATCTTCTAAGACAAATTTCAATACCTGTTATTAATTTTCCCCTTTGAGCTTAATAAATTGTCTTGACCCTAATGGAAAAGACCTGCTTCGACAAATTAAATAGAAATTGTAGGAGTGTGAATCTAGTATCAGACTACAGAGGGTATCCATAACAACTACCACTACCAGAACAAAAATTAATATAGTACTTACTAATAGCTAACGTGCGTTGTTTTTAAATGTTTTACGTAAAACCAGAAAGATTTAAAAGCTGTACTCTCGGCTTTCTGCGTATTGTGTGTGTGTGTGTGTGTGTCTTTTTTTCCCTAAACTGTAGTTTTCATAGGTATTTCTATTGTCTTCTCGGCAGTGTTGCCTATGGCCTTCCTCCACTCTACCTCAAACAATGTCGAAAAGCACGCGCTTAGGGAGCTTGGGTATCCCAGGAAGCATACAAGGAGGCGGGAACAAGCCTGAGGCAGTACAGGTGGGCGGGATCGGCGCTGGGGCGGTGCAACTGCGCCGGGCGGTGCAAGCTGGCGGAACCCGCGTGATCGAGGTCGGGTTGCAAAGGGAACTAGTCCCGCGCAGGACGTGGGGCTTTTGTTGTCCAGCTGGTTCCGGCTGAGGAAGATGGCGGTAGCTGGGGCGGTGTCCCGGGAGCCGCTGGTGCTCTGGTGCACCCAGCAGTTGCGGAAAACTTTCGGCCTGGATGTCAGCGAGGAGATCATGCAGTGAGACCAGTTCGGGTCCTAGGCGGGAAGGAGCTCTGGGATGTGCACTAGCAGAGAGAAAAGGAAAGCGGGGAGGAATGAAAAGTTGATGAGAGACAAGAAATATGATAAAAGAGCTGCAATTAGTCTGTAGGGGCCGAATTTTGGTCTCCGCTTTTATAGTTTAGCTTCTGGAAAGGTTGTCAAGCTGTAAGATATGTTTTTTTTCTCCTGAAAAACTGTAGTAATTAGCCCTATAAGATTGTCCAAGGATCTAGTTTCCTTATAGACTTTGAGAGAAGGAGCAAGTCAAATTGTCTTTCGA